ACACATTCAGGGCTGGGCCAGTGAGACGTGTGATGTATAGGGAGACTTCTGAGGATCAGATATAAAGGCCTGAAGGTCCACAGTTGTCCTCCGGGCTTAAGGTTGCCCACCTCTGCTGTAGACACTTTGGAGCTAGACTTGCTAAAACTTGCTAAAACTTCCTACAAGTCCTTTAGTAAACTTCCTTTGCCTCTGAATTCTCACATGTTGAAATCAAAGAAATCCTGTTCTCGAGAGCAGGGATGGGAAACTTGTGCCCCTGGACTACATATCCCATTATCCTTGGTCACTGGTCATCCTTGTCGGGGCGGATAGAAGTTGGGGTTCAACAACATTTGGAGTGCCACCAGTTCCCCATACCTCTTTGGGGTTAGTCAAAACAACACAGGTGCACATTGGCACAGGAAGAAACAGTAATCTGAATTGCAGTCCGGCCTAATTTAATTGACCAAGGGGATAGTTACAGAATTTATTATTTGTAACTGAATAGTATCATCATTAGCCAACTTGATAATCTACAGTTCAGTGAATAAATATCTCATCTAATACAAAGCACTTTAACATGCTTAATGTGTGTTTCTGAAGATGAGATCAAGATTATGATTTCACAATAGATATGTCTGTCTCTCATCTATCTATCTACCATCCATCTTCACTTAGATATATGTGAAACCAATTTTGCCTTCTCTCAGTTTCTAATTCTTCCATCCTTCTCTTCTTCAAATTTCCACATCAGTTTGCATTTTTTTTAAAGTCCCTGTGAAAATTTATCAGCATTTTTGTGCGAATTTCTCTTAATATACATATTTTGATATGCAATTTGGCCTAATTACACATTTGCTGCAAAGCAATTTCTCCTAATATTGTTGTTCTTTACACTAATATATGCACATATATGCAAACTTTACCTTACAATCTGCAATATTTGGGTGGAGAACCACTTTGCAAAATTCACAGAAGTGCAAAGTTCAAAGAATGGCTGTGTTTCAGTTCACGTATTGTTCTGGAAAGTGCAAACTTTGTAAGTTCACTGTGAAATGTAACTGGTTTGAATTTCTTCCCCAGCCTTATCTTTAATCAATCTATTCACCATTAGAGTCAATCCATTTATTCATCAGACAGTTCATCAGAATAGGAGGGTGGATGCAGCTGAGAATAATGTGAGCCTCTAGGCCTAGGGTGACCATTTCCTTGTGTCCAATAGGGATGGTAAACAGCTGGGGGGGCATGTTTGGTTTTGCATTCAGTAGCATTCTTCTGCCTTGAGGCTTGACTTATGAGTAAGTGATGAGATGGGCTGATCTTAGATAGCATTTCTCTAAACCACCAAACAAGGAATAATTGGCATGAATCAAACTTGCTTGGTCCAAGGACCTGGATGGGAAATCTAAACTATTAAGTGGGGGTAGGGCTCCGTATTTAACAGTGCAGCCCTGTGCACCTTTACTCAGAAGTAAGACTTGTTGAGATGACTTACTCCTGGGAAAGTGAGAAAAAGATTGCAGTCTCTGTGATGGCTCTGTCTCTGAGAAATTGCAACTACTTCTGCTGGTGCTAAAAAGATTTTGTATCCACACTCGTACGCTTATACAAACAGAATCTGTATTATTTATGGAATTTACATAAATCAGCAGGATTGCAATGAAAATTGTTTCCTTATGTACACTAGCCATGTCCTTGTTGACCACCAGAGGGAGCACTTGCATTACCTGCTAAAGGACTTTCCATTGGTCAATGCCCTGAGATAATATCTCATTAAATTGGGTTACAGACTCCTCTACTGGTATGGAAGTTCCTACGAAACTCAGACTGTGCAAAAAATATCAGGAAGGAGGGTGACACATCAGAGCAGGTGAGCTGTTAAAAGAAACTGTGAAAGCTATTAAGTGGAGATGGTATATTACATGTAGAGTGAAACATTATAAAACACAGGGAAAATAAATAAGGATTAAGAAGATTCTGAGCTTGAAAAGTGGAAAAACTAATTAAGAAGCCCAAACTATATAATGAGAAAAGGGGATTATCCAGAAGGTGAATAAAACTTGTCAAAAGTTGCTTGTTTAAAAAAAATAGAAACCATATGACCTCTGAGAGATAGTGGAGAGAATTTAATAAAGGAGACACAGGATTTGTGTCTGGTGGTTTTAATATTCTGCCTTTGAAAAGTACAGAAAATGAGAACTGCATATCCATACAAGTGAAGGTGGTACAGCCATATAATCCACATTGAACAATGCATTTATTTCCATTCAGGTCCATAAAAGTGGTTTAAAAAATAGTAGACCAATAAAAAATTAATAAATCAGTAGAGTAATGGAAGATGGTATTCTTCCCCCCACCCTAAAGATAACTAAATCCATCAGTCAAACCAAACATTCAAAAAAGTTTGAGAATTGTCTCTAATATCAGTCGTAATCAAATTAAAGGACTTAACTAACTTGTTGTTGTTTAGTCGTTTAGTCGTGTCCGACTCTTTGTGACCCCCTGGACCAGAGCACGCCAGGCACTCCTATCTTCCACTGCCTCCCGCAGTTTGGTCAAACTCATACTGGTAGCTTCGAGAACACTGCCCAACCATCTCGTCCTCTGTCGTCACCTTCTCCTTGTGCCCTCCATCTTTCCCAACATCAGGGTCTTTTCCAGTGAGTCTTCTCTTCTCATGAGGTGGCCAAAGTATTGGAGCCTCAGCTTCAGATCTGTCCTTCCAGTGAGCACTCAGGGCTGATTTCCTGAAGAATGGATAGGTTTGATCTTCTTGCAGTCCATGGGACTCTCAAGAGTCTCCTCCAGCATCAACTAACTTAGCTTCAGTAATTTAATTGGGTTTCCTCTGAGTTTGATTATTATTGGATACAACCCATTATGAACAGAGAAAAGACTGAAACATCTCACATTGCTCTCATGATGCAGATCTGGACATTGGCACATACATGTACACCAGCAAACTAGTTAGGGCTGAGCCACCCATTCACACAACTTGTGATACTGCATCACATAACGTCATCAGTTGAGGCCTCACAGCTGACTATCTGAACTATCTGATTGGGGGGTGTTTCAAGGTGAACCCAAATTCTAGTGGTGCCGTTCGATCTGTGATAGCTCATTCATACACACTCACTCTCACACATGTGTCAACACTTGCATACCAACTAACCATCCTTTAGGGAAGTGGCACATCCCTCTTTAATGGGCCTCTTGATATGAACAGGATTGGTAAATCTTGTGCATGCCAGCACCCATTCATTTGCCAGATATCATCTGCAGGATTACTGTTTCAGCCCACACTGGAAAATGCTGGGAAAGAAACATTTCTATGGCAGTGGTGTGCGCCATCTACCGGTAGTATGATGTGAAGGGTGGGATTATACTGAACCAGGTGTAATGTTAAACCATAGTCACAAGAATGAGATACGGTGAACCTCAGGCCTTCCTCATCTTCTGGTGCAACCATGAGAAGATCAGAGGCTTTAGCTTTGATTCATTTACCTGGACCCTGAGATCTTCTTCTGAGGCCCTTCTTCGTGTGCCTCCTCCGTGAGAGGCCAGAAGGGTGGCAACACGAGAACGGGCCTTCTCTGCAGTGGCTCCCCGTCTGTGGAATGCTCTCCCCAGGGAAGTTCGCCTGCCGCCTTCACTATACACCTTTAGGCACCAGGCAAAAACAATCCTTTTCAACCAGTCCTTTGCCTGACTTGATCTACATCCTAAACCCTTTTTAAAAATGCTGGCTTTTGGTTTTTTATTGTTTTTTTACTGGGTTGTCGGTTTTGTTTTGATTTTATGTATTTGATATTTTATGTGAACTGCCCTGAGACCTTTGGACATAGGGCAGTATAGAAAGTAAATAAATAATAATAATAATTTTTTTTTTTTAAAGCTTTCATTTAACATCAACCAACTACAGCTTGCCATGTTGTCCAAACCCAACAAACTGTGATTAACCTTAGCCAGTGCTTTTTTTCCTGGCGGTACTCAAGGCACTCAGCGGGTGGCGCTGTGGGTAAAACCTCAGCGCCTAGGACTTGCTGATCGTCAGGTCGGCGGTTCGAATCCCCATGGCGGGGTGAGCTCCCGTTGCTCGGTCCCAGCGCCTGCCAACGTAGCAGTTCGAAAGCACCCCCGGGTGCAAGTAGATAAATAGGGACCACTTACTAGCGGGAAGGTAAACGGCGTTTCCGTGTGCTGCGCTGGCTCGCCAGATGCAGCTTGTCACGCTGGCCACGTGACCCGGAAGTGTCTGTGGACAGCGCTGGCCCCCGGCCTCTTAAGTGAGATGGGCGCACAACCCTAGAGTCGGACACGACTGGCCCGTACAGGCAGGGGTACCTTTACCTTTACCTTTACTCAAGGGAAAGCAATACCGGCACCTCCCCCCCACCCCAATGTTAAAAGTGTGGCACTTATTGTCGCAACTTCATAGTGAGTACTGGCACCTTTTTTAAATATTAAAAACAAACAAACCACTGACCTTACATGTATGGTTTGCAACAAAACACAGTTAAAATTAACCATAGCTTAGGGTTAAAATTCCATGACAGACTGGTAAATCTAAAATGTACTGGAAGCAAAATTCTATTTGGTTTACATTTAAAAGCAAAGTTTCAAAATTTTCCCTTTCCAAAACAATATGCGGACTGAAAGACAGCCATCCTTTGACATTTGTGGTCTTCTAGCCTTGCCATGCAAAAATTGCTTTACAAAAATTTGTTTACAAGAAAAAATTCGCCCTAAGCTGCTGCTGAATTTTCATGAGGACCCTTTTTTAAAAAAAGGGGGGGGAGAAAAAGGAAAACAAGCTAATGTGGCAAACTTAAGATTGAAAAAATGAGAGTAACTGAAAAATATCAGATGCATCCACGCACACTCTTGTCTCCTTTGGTTCTTATAAAGCACAGACAATATGTATCTTCTAACCAGCCAGAGCTGATCAGAATTTATTTTTTATTATTTTCTGTATTCACACAGGAGTGAAGAGGTTCCTTATTTCTTTTTTTTTTTTTGCTAAAAAAAATAAAAAATAAAGTTGACCATGCAATATACATTCTCATTTGTTGGACTATTATGTGCGTCTCCTTTGAGAACTGGAAACTCAGGATGGGGGTGTGTGTGTAGGGAGAACGAGTTGTGTTGCTATGGAGACCGGGGTTGGCTGGAGCCAGCCCGCACCGGTGCTGATGCTATGCGAAATGTTTGTAACACATCAGTACACAAAAGGCTGTTTCTCAGGTATAAACATAAATAAGACACAGCAAGAGCAGTAGAGAGTGTGGAGTGGGGCAGGGTGGGAGAAGAGGGAATATGACACAAAGGATTGTATCCAGTTGTGTGGCTGGGAGATCTTCCCTGGAAAATTAAGGACAGACTTTATTAAGGTTACCACGGGGCTGGATACAACTCAGACTCCCCCCCTTGCACTATACATTTAAAGCAAAATCCTTATGGGACTAGAATTCCCAAAGTTCTCTGGGGAGATGGATTGGGAACTGCAGCTCTGGGAGAGGAAGTGTGCATGGGGTCTCCTAACCACTCTCTGCACCCTTATCAAACTACAGCTCCCATAATTCCTTGGTGGAACCTTGACTGTTTAAAGCGGTATGATACTGCATTAAATGTATGGTGTGAAAGCGGTCTATGTGTTCAACCAATGAAAGACTGGTAAACAACCTGCATTTTAGACCCATTGAAATTAATGGGCATGATTAACATATTTATCTTGTTCTGTTCCATTTGGAATAGTTTTATGTATTGTAGTGATCTTATCTTAAGGTTACTTTTTTTAAAAGGCAAAGTTGTTTGGCCGTTTTAAAGCTATTTTTATGGAAAATCGGCAAAAACGGCCAACATGTGCTGCCATTCGTCCAGATTTTCCCAGACAATTTCGGGATTTCCGCCCGGACTCTGCTGCCGATATGTCTGGATATGTCCAGAAAATCCCAGGCGTATGGCAACTCTATCTTATCTTGTTTTCATCATTGTGCTTTCTATTGCTATAACTTTAGGCAGTGCTTTTTTCTGGGGGGACATATGCATACCCCTAAACATTTTGTGAATCTAAGTTTGGCCTCATTGAGGGGCAGTATTTCAATAGGAGTAGGAAAATGAGAGTACCCCTCAACATTTTTTTTTAGGAAAAAAAGCACTGACTTTAGGGTCAAGTGTGGGTAAGAAATCTTACAAAAGCAAACACGTTTATTAATTTCAGTGGGCCACCTCTGAGTAAAAGTTGGTTGGCTACAACCCCATGAAAGGGTGTCAGCTCCATTTGGGGGCAGAATACCTCTGGATAAGTAATTATCACTACAGTGGTACCTCAGGTTAAGTACTTAATTGATTCTGGAGGTCTGTTCTTAACCTGAAACTGTTCTTAACCTGAAGCACCACTTTAGCTAATGGTGCCTCCCGCAGCCTCCGCGCCAACGCTGCACGATTTCTGTTCTCATCCTGAAGCAAAGTTCTTAACCCGAGGTACTATTTCTGGGTTAGCAGAGCCTGTAACCTGAAGCGTATGTAACCAGAAGCATATGTAACCCGAGGTACCACTGTATATAGTAAGCTAGTGTGTTGTAGTGGTTAGAATGCTAAACCAGGACTGGAGGGTTTCGGATTCAATTCCTGATTCAGGCCCACTCACTGGGGGACCAGACTCTGTCTCTCAACCTGTCCTATACCACAGGGTTGCTTTGAGGATATTATGAAAGAAGGAACCTCACATGCAACTCTGAGCTCCTTGAAGGAATGGCAGAGCAAAAAATGCAATAAATAAATATAAGATTCAATAGTGGTATATTCTTTGCCCCCTGTGGGGGACTACGAACCCTTGCCTGGTTATATGTGTTCTTTTATAACAGAAATGTCTGTGTCATGCTAGAGATCGTATCAGGGTAGAATACAGCAAATATTTACCAGGCCAGACAATGTGTTGCCATAACAACAAGGGCTCCTTTACCGTAACCAGAAGTGTTTGTTGGGTAGCTAGGCTTCAGGGCTTTTTCAGAGTTAAAATTAAACAGAATTCTTTTGGGTGCGACCTTTGTGAGTCAGTGGGCTAGAACACTGCGCCGTCAGAAAGTCAGCTCCTTTTCTTCGTTTGCAAGGCTGCTTTGTGGGAGAGGCGAAAGAATGAACTATTGGCCTTTATGAAGGAGGATTTGATTGGCAGCATCTATAGGTTGTCAAAGGAACCCAAACATCTTTCAGTTCTGTGTTTTCTAGTGGGAAGAGCTATTTAGCTCTGAACACATACAGAAACCACTCAGATGCCCACAGCCTTCAGATTCTCTCATTTCATGATTGTGGTGGTATGAAGGAGGCAGCCTTGGCCTTGGCTGATTTTGCCACTGACGACCACGATGGGCTGCACCACCAGCAAGAGCACAACAGTTGTGGAAGCAGCTGAAAAACCTGGTGACCCACCTCAGGGAGAAGAAAATAACCAGGATGCCAACTCTGAAACAAAGGCAGATTCCATACAGAACTCCTCTGCCAAAGAGGGTACCTGCAAAAGCTGAAGCAAAGGAGGTGCCTCCTCCCAAAATATCTGCTATGACTGGGCAAATGAACTTATCAATTTGGTCTTTCTTCTTTGCCTGTGAGATGAACAAAGAGGTTCATTTTCATTACTTGCCTAATCAGGACTGTGGGAAGAAAGGAGAAACTCTTTCATGAATTACACATTCCTTAAAGACTGCTCAAGGGGTCCTTCTGGAAGGAGCAATTTCATATTCCACCTGGATGTCAGACTGAGGATTCTTCCACATTGAAATCCAAAGGTGATTTGGCTGCTCCTACGGGCAGACTCATTTTTGCTGCAATTTCACTTGAGTTGCCACTGATTTTTTGCCAAAAGTAAAACTCTAAATGGTTCTCAAGGTTCCTACTTGGCCAGAAGATTGAAGGACGTCCACAGAAATCAAAATCTAGTGCAAGAGAATTAAAACTGTCCATAATCTTAGAGTGGTTTTGTTTGCCACAGGATTTCACAGGAAATTAAAAAGAATCTAAGGAACTTCAAGAGATCTAAGGAACTTAAAGAGAAGTAGTTTTAACGCAACTAGCAAAAATGCTCAGGAAAGGGAAGGCACTGCATACCTTTAAAGTACTTTCTCTGGACATTTTGGGCCAGGTTTGAAGCGAGACAATTAACTTCAAGGAGAGCAAATGAAATATAAATATAAATCACCATACTGTCCATCTTATTTTCTATATTAAGGTTTACATGACTGCTGAAGGCCAGATAGTCATGATGGGTTCAATCGTATACATTCTTACCTCTGAGTAAGTCTCTTTGTGCTTAATAGGGCTTACCTTGCAGTAGACTTGTATATGATCACGTCTTCTAATCTTTAGTATCATGTTTGAATACAGTAGATGAAATTCCAACCCTATGCTCAAATTAACAGCCATGAATTGGACTTGATTGCTCAAGATCTTGGATCTAAATGGCAAACGTTTGAAGGGATTAAAGTTATGAGTTGTGATCAACATTTGCTGTACCTTATCTCTCTTTAATATAGCTTCCTCTGTATTATGTACTGTAATGTTTTTGCATTCAAAAACAACTGCATATGATGTTTGCTCTGTTCACATTTGGTACCCATGGGTACCTAGAAACCAATGTACACCTTACCATGACTCTTGGTCAACATCTGATCAGGGTCAACCTGAATCAGTCCTAAGTGAGTACACTTAGGGCAAGTTCATCCATGGAAACAGTCAATAAAAGTTTCTGATTCCTTGGAGGAAGCCCTAGATGCATAAGCTCCCCTGTTGTCAGTTCATGTGCCAACTTATAGGGGGACAGGACTAGCTTGCACATTCGCAATAGTCACTTCATGCATTCTGTACCCATGCGTACCAAATGTCTGAAGAGGGCTATTCTTATATTGGTTTTCTGTGGTTTTCAAACTGTGCTCTGGGTAACCCTGGGGCCTTTCAGAATCTTCTTGGTACAACAGCTTTCTTCACCATGTCTTAGGATGCTTCTGACGGTCAGCACTATGTGGGAGGGATTGAAGAGTGTACTGGGAAATGTCAGTCTGGGCAATTAAAGTGGATTAAAGCATTTTGTCACCCTAGTGCAACAAAGCCACTTTTGAAAAACAAACAAACAAACAAACAAACAAACTTTTAAAGGAAGGGATGGAGAAATGTGTAAATATTGCACAAGCAAGTCAGGATGAATTCAGGATTAATGCTCACTGTTGTATAACCTCCCTGCAGACAAATCAGAACGAATGCTCAGTAAAGATCAGATATAATATAACCTCCATGTAAGCTTTGTGGAAAGAAATCAGAATGAATGCTTAATAAGTAGGTCTTCTGGAAGAGCACTTAGCCATAGGCTTTGTTGAGAGAGTATGCTCAGTTCACACAAGGATATCTGTTATGATGATACATTCTAGTCAGCTGCCTACTTTCGGAATATGCAAGCGGTTAAACATTGCAGAGTTTTTATTCTGGCTAGATTTAACATTCTTCCATCTCAAGCATTTGAGGCAGGTGTGCTGGCAACTCTCTTTCCTTAAGGTTTGCCATCAAGCGGTAGAATCTATAGAAAATGCCCTTCTGCTCTGTAATTTCTTTGCTGGAGTCTGGAGTTTGGCAGTGTTACAATTGGCCCTTTGCTGACCAAACTACCAGGAAGGTCAGTTCAATATTATCTTGAATATCTAATGGAAGCTAAAAACCCCCAAATGTGTCATTGGGAGTGGCTATGTTTCTATTGACAGCAGAGTTAACAAGGCAACAACACACCACTTAAAACTGGAAGAACTATATTTAGGAGATGATTGTAGTTTTGTGTGATTGTTTTCATGCTGTATTTCACCATCTGTTTTGCTCTGAAATTCTTGTGTACTGCATGCTTTTTATTTTTGGTCTATTGATTGTAATAAATTGATTGATTGATTGAGTTCACGTAAGGTGGCCTTAAGACTCACCAAGCCTGCTCAGGCACCCTGTGCAAACTGGTATATGCCCCTGAACCAACTCATATCCCTAAGAATTCATTGGCAGGCATACTAGGGATTAGGTTCCAAATTCTGTGAGGCAGAGCTTTCCAAACTGTGTGTCGGCTACATTCTTCTCAACTGAAGGATTGAACCTGGAACTGTCTCCATGCATTTCACACCAAGGGTGGTATTCAAGTTTCAGTGGATCCACTGAAATGAATGGATCTAACTAAGCCATGTTCATTCATTTCAACAGCTCTCCTCTGAGTTGAATACCACCCCGAGCCTCTTTTCACTCAGAACAAGAGGCTGTTTGTTGTTAGAACACAAACTTTTAATATAAAATGTGCATCTTTTAATGTAAAAAATAGACCTCCCCATTCCCTGTTTTATATGTGACCAAGGCTGTGTACACACAAACCACTGAGCCTTTTGGGCTTGCCGATCGGAAGGTCGGCAGTTTGAATCCATGCAACGGGGTGAGCTCCCATTGCTTTGTCCCAGCTCCTGCCAACCTAGCAGTTCGAAAGCATAAAAGCGCAAGTAGATAAATAGGTACCACTGTGGTGGGAAAGTAAGCAGTGTTTCTGTGCACTCTGGCACTCGTTACAGTGTTCTGTGTGCCAGAAGCGGTTTAGTCATGTTACTCACATGACCTGGAAAAGCTGTCTGCAGACAAACACCAGCTTCCTTGGCCTGAAAGCAGAGATGAGTGCCACACCCCATAGTTGAATTTGAGTGGACTAAACTGTCCAGGGGTCCTTTACCTTTACACACAATGCAATTAAATCGCGTGACTCTCCCCCAAGAATCCTGGGAACCCTAGTTTACTTTTCACAAGGTTACAACTCCCAACACCCTTAGCGAATTACAGTTCCCAGGAATCTTTGGGAGACGTTATGTGCATTAAATGTGAATTGGCTGTGCTCTGGATGTAGGGTGTGCACACAACCCAAGAAATGAGAGTGAGCACATCATGCGCAATTTGGCTCAAAGTCTACCCACGCCAGAGTTCCTTTTTAACAACGTGCTTAGCAGGGGGTAAGTTGGCTGGCTAATTAAAATGGCACAAGGATGCAAGTGGACCTTCCAAGCTCTTAATTTCAACTCCTTTGTCAGGCTTCTTGTGACAACTGTGCAAGTTTTAACATGCCTCCAACAGTAGTTTTGCATTGTAACTAAAACACTGAATGCTTCCTCATGCAGGGACTACAGAAAGGCATTATTAACTCTTTGCATGACAGCACACATAAGATAGAAGCTTAAGAGTTAACCTTGGTATGGCATCAGGGGGTGGAGGGGGTTATGCGCTGCTCATTAACTACACAATAAGACCCATGGGTGCTCTGCTTCCATGATAAGAGGCAGCCACGCTTCTGAATAGCAGTTGCTGGAAACTGCAGGACGGGAGAGGTCTCTTGTGCTTGAATCCTGCTAGGGGGTTTCCCACAGGCATCCACTTGGCCACTGTGAGAACAGGATGCTGGACTAGATGGGCCATTGGCCTGATCCAGCAGGGCTCTTTTTATGTTCATTGTGTCAGATATGGATCCTGCAAGCTTGAGTGGAGAAAGAACGGTACCAAGGATTAGGCCAGGCCAGGCCAGGTTTAATGTGGTGAATCACAGTACAGTGGTACCTCTAGATACGAACGGGATCCGTTCTGGAGCCCCGTTCGCATATAGAAGCAAACGTAACTAGCGACGGCAAGTCTGCGCACGCGCATGTCACCTTTTGCCGCTTCTGCGCATGCGCATGATGTCATTTTGAGCGGTGAAACCCGGAAGTAACGCGCTCTGTTACTTCCGGGGTTGCTGCGGAGCGCAACTTGAATGCGCTCAATCCGGAGCGCATTCAATCCGAGGTATGACTGTAGATGCAAAATATAAGAGCCCTGCTAGATCAGAACAAAGGCCTGGGACAGCATCCTGCTTTTCAGTTCCAGCTTCAGAAAGGAGGAGGGGGGTTTAATGTAAAACCAGAATCCCTCTTCGACTTACATCTGGGGTTCATGTGATTAATGAGTGAAACCAATCAATCTAAAAAAAAGTTTGGACTGCGAGGCAAAGCCAACGTGCCACATCTCAATAATCTGTTTTGTGTGGTTTTTTAAATCATAATTAGCTAATCTGCCAAGTAAACATGTTGTTACGCACAGGCAGCTAACCATCTGAACACTCTTTATCTCCCACCCACCCCCCAGCCATGGAATATCTGTTGAATGCAAAGCTATCAAAGACATGAAAGTCCATTGGCAATGTTCTAACTCACTGGAGCTAAACGATGCGCCGTCTGCTCTCAAATATGGTCCTTGGCACTTTTGAATGAGGAGACACTAGATGGCACTGATGTAAAAGGAATTAAGAGCCCTCCAGTGAGAGAGACCTCTATGTACTGATGCAATACAGCAGGATCATTCTCCTGCGTTATCAACCAACCCCTCGCCCTGCTGCAAAAAAGATGGGTGATTTTTCAGAACTGCATCCATTGCTCCCTTAGAATTCACCGGCGTTAAGCGCTTATTTACTACAAGACAGGGGGTCAGTCGCTTTGTAGGCCAAGAACAAGAGGTTGTTTGTTGAAAAACAGGTTAATTCACAACGGCATAACAAAATGAAAGTGACTACAAGAACAAGCTAAAGGGAGGAGTTTTAGCTCCATCCAATAATAATAATCAGAGTCAGTATTTAACGCTAACATTACCCATTACTGCAGCTAAAAGGGCAATGTAAAAATCTCAGTCTGGGGTAGTTCCCTCTTCATCTACCCCCTCGATTCCCCCCCCCCACTGTACAAACAAATACATCTCTCAGTGAAAAACAATATGTGTATCACTATTATTTCAGGAAATTAAATAAAAGCAAGGGTGAAATCCTAAACTTTTTGAGCCCTATTGGGTTCAGTGGTACTTATTCCCTTGGACAGCCACCCCCCCCCAGCCAGGCACCACCCTTGTTTCCTGGCTTGCTTCACAGCTGGGCTAGGGCAGCTGGGGAGAGGCAGCTGGGCAGGTAGACTGGTAGGAGGGGCGGGCAGGTGAGAGGGTGGGGGGAGTGGATGAGTGGGCAGAAACTTCTTGTGTGTGGGTGGGGGGGGGAGCAAGAGGCAAGCAGGTGGGGTAGAAGGGGAGGCCTGTACCCAGTTGTGTGTGGCAGAGCAAGATGCACTCTACAGAAGGGGGGGGAGTGTGCACAGGAGCATAGCTGTCAACTTTTCCCTTTGCTTGCGAGGAATCCTATTTTGAATAAGCGAATTTCCCTTAAAAAAAGGGAAACTTTGACAGCTATGCACATGAGCGGTGGGTAATCCCCCATATGTTGCTGAAGTTGGTGCTTAAGATACCTGTCTAGGAGTGGCTGTAGCTGGTGAACCTGATGGGGTTGGTAAAAGGCGTGGAGGATACTTCCACACCAAAAGTTCCCCCAAGCCATGCACTTGCTACTTCAGAGGGAGTCCACTCCCATCCAGAACTGGTTAACTTGTCTTTCTCCTTAACATGAAAGCCACCCATCCCAAGAGCCTTTATTATGGGCCCTCCTTATTATCCGAGGCATCTTTTCAGTTCTACCCATTGTTTTTAATCAATTAATCTAACCAATCTGCCAAATAAATAGTGCACCTCTAGGTTTTGGTACACATGTATACACCAAAAGGTTCAACATCTGTTTGCAAAGATAGAACACAAGTTTTCCAGCTTTATTTTTTTTGGTAAAAAACCCAAAGATTTCTTCCTCCTTCAGGCAGAAATGTGAGAAGAAGCAGTGAATTAAAGGAGCTTAAATAAAAACCAATTTCATTAACAATGCAACAGTTTCAGTAGCTGAGCCCGGATAATGTCTTACTAATGCTTCAGCACATCAAAGAGGCATTGACAATGGTTTCAACAGAATGGAATCTATGCTCATGAAGTCTGTGTCCCCAATAGAAAGCTCAGCAGGCACACACAGGCTACCCATTAGCTTCGATGGAGACACCTCATTCTTACATGCACTTGCACTTTTGTGGGGGGAAACGGGGTAGTTTTTGCACCTATGTGAGTTCCACATACTTATTTGCAACTCTTGTGCGGATAACATTACTCTGTCATAGTGACAGGCCTTTTCAGTTCTTAAAGAAATCCATTATGGTGGCATGTGGAGACGGGAATGTGTAACAGAGAGATATTTTAGAGCTAGTATACACATTTTCTTTATGGAAAATGTACAGTCTGAAATTTATGGGCACCAATGAAACCCATCCTGGTATCACTCTAGGCTAAACGACACATGGTGGCAGCTGATCCATAATGTTTAAGCATGTATATGGTAGCCAAGCTGAATGTGATGTATGGGTTGGAGCATTGTACTCAGTTTGGGAAGGCTCAGCTTTCAATTCCCACTTAAGCTCAATGGTGATTTTCAATAAGTCACTCTTTCTCAACCTAAGAACATAAGAAGGACCAGACTGAATCAGGCCATGGGCCCATCTAGTCCAGCATCTTATTCTTCCTGTAACAAGACAGTTGCCTATGGGAAGACCACAAGAAGAAACTGAGAGTGACAGCACTCTCCCCACGTACCAGGGAGAGACAGGAGTCCAAAGGTTGAGCAGGGGATGTAGGGGGGGGGTGCTAGAAGATGATCTAGAGGGGCCAGTGATTTGTGGGGTTCTGTGCCACCCCTGAGGCAGGGAGAAGAAGAAGAATCCTGTTAGCGACTCCCCTTTTCTCTAAACTAAAGAGCCCCAAATGTTGTTACTTTTCCTCATAGGAAAGCTGTTCCATCCCCTTGATCATCCTCACCTGCCCTATGAAAGGTGGGGTTGCTGGATCAGGGCCACACTGGCATAGTCTTGAGTACTGGTGGGGTATATGTTGGGTGCATGTCACAACCTCACAAGTTCATCACTCCATATGGCGTTGCATGGAGACATTGTTGCCAACAGAGCCTCTAATTGGTGGGTTTTGTTGGTGCTTCTGTAGATACTGGACGTGTGCTAGTCATTGTTGGTCTACCATGTCCCTGCTTCTTATATATTTTACCCCTCTCGTCCTAGGCTGAACATTTAGAGGATTCATTGGCCATTCTGCCAGCACAGTACAGCTCATTTCTATACTTGCTAAAAGATGAACAAGGATTGCTTATTGTGGAAGCTAAGTATTCCTTAGATCTGGGTACAATCACAGACAAGGGATGGGCTACTTAATTTAAATGATGGGGCAGGTATGTAAGCAGCTTCATGAAACTTTGTGCCCCTGCATCCCATTCAATTGGCGGCGGGGGGGGGGGGAGAGGGCATATGGCTCACAAAGATTAGTATGAAAAGAAGATCACTTTCTCTTTTTAGCTTGTAAAATAAAGCTCGATGCCCTCCCCACCATTAGAAACATTGAGTACGTTTTTAAAAAATCAATTTTAATTTAAATGCATTACTCTCCTCTACTGCAGTTGGAAAACTAATTACTTCTAAATGTGCAATAATATGGTATGGCTAGACTATATCATTAAGAAGCTAAAAATTCCTCGTATGAAATAGATTTATACCACAGAGGAGGGGAAAAATGCTGATGACTTATTCATAAGTATTTTTAAAGCACAGTTAGAGATCTCTAGCAAAGTCACTAACCTTCAAAGCCAGAGGTATATTTTGGCCATAAGAAAAGAAGTTTTAATCATTTTCAAGCATATTGAATTAAAAAAAGAAAGTCTCCCTTTCTCTGTCTGTCTGTCTGTCTGTCTAACTGTCTTTCTCTCTCTGATTACACACACACACACACACACACACACACACACGGTGTCAAGGTGGGGGCCTATAGCAAAAAAATTACAAGCAAAGGGTCCCTGGTCCTTCAGTTTAAAAGCTACCAGATTGTAAGACTGGGCAAGGTTTCTTGCAGACCAACTTCCAGTTGGTGTAAACCAGAGGTGGGGAGCCTGTGGTCCTCTAGATGTTGTTGGACTCTAACGTCCATCAGCCCCAGGCAGCATGTCCAACAGCAACTGGAGTACCACAGGTTCTTCATCCCTGGAGTAGAAACTGGATTCTGTGGTTTGATTTGATACAGGTAGGTTTCACTCCCATCCCCCATTCTGCTCCTCTGCAGCATCTAGTTCAATGGTAGACATCAAGGTGCCCTTAGATGGGACTGGACTTTCACCAGCCCCAACCAGCATGGTTAGTGATCAGGGATGATGAGAGTTGAGGTCCACAGCATCTGCAGTGCATTGCATTGGCTGCCCTTGGTCTAGTTCAGTTTGACCAGTGTTCCGATGCCATTATGATATGCATGTTCATTGTGATATGTGTTCATTGCTATACTTGGTGGCTTGACTCAGTTTCATGTAGGAGGCAGCTCTGTCCTAAAACTGTGTGCTTCAGTCTGGAGCCCATGGCTTGGATTTGAAGCTCTGGATTATAGGACATAAAGTATACTAGAGATATGCTTTGCTGCCCTGCAATATTTTAATTTAGGTTACCTAATATTATGATATTTACTTTGTTTTATTTTTCGCTGGCCCGTACTAAACAGCACAAAAACCTGGGGTTTGAGGCAGAGCTGGAGGGAGAAGTACTGACAGCATTTTCGCAAAGTGCAGCCTGCTGAAGTCCCTTTCAAAGTTGCTTGGACAACTTTCGGAGTTAATCTGTACTACAGAATAGATTTATTCCTCTAATTAGCACTTCAGGCTGATATCTGTAGCCGACAAAACCCAGGCCATTACAAAACAAGCCAGCATCAAATGGAATCACTGGAAATCTCTTGCAGGTTCAAACATGAAAAGCATGCTTCTCCCTGATATACACTTCTGGGATAGCTCACTCAGTAGAGCATGAGACTCTTAATCTCAAGGTCATGGGTCTGAGCCCCAAATTGCACAAAGGATTCCAGCATTGTATGGGGTTGGATTGGTGATCCTCATGGTCCCTTCCAGCTCTATAATTCTATGAAATTCTATGAAAACCTTTAGCCTTAAGTATGAAATGGTCTGGTTAGCAATAAATATAGTACATTTGTTTTACCTAATTTTAAAAATCTTAAGAAAGTTTATGTATTTCTTTGTATTCAAGCAAATAATTTATTTTCTTGAGGAAGAGTCATAACAAAGTAAAACATTGTACGCCAATGAAAAAGTCCATGGAGTCAATAAAGACTTTTCTTCAAAAGAGCCGTCTGGGCTGATTTGTGTATTAGCTGAATCATTCTGCTGATCGTGTATTTCAAAGTTTATTAAAAGTAAAGAAATTTTCCGTCTCTCCCCCCCCTTAACATCTTCTGAAGTCACATTAGAGCTAATAATCAATTGGAGGCCAAAAAAATTATACTGGAAAAATCATTTTTATACAAACTGAAACTGCTGTAATTTAAAAGAGTGCAAATGAAACCATACATTTTCAGAAGGGGATCAATGAAAAAGCACTTTATTAGAAAATATAAATCACTTTTTAATTTCACATGCAATAACAGGGGACAAATTTCACCTCCCCCAACTTTCCCCATTTTCACTACAATTGATTGGTGCACCTGCAGAGAGAAGCAGCTTTATCTTCTCATTATCAGACAATTAATATTCTGCTCTAAATGCGAGTACAATTTTGGTTAACTGTGAATGGGTGGTTTTATTGAAGTCTTAATAGACCAGGAAAATTTGACTTCCACCTTGCTAAATGAGGTCACCGAGGGGCAGGAATTACAGAAAACTTAGTGGAAGGTAAAAATAAGAATGCGACACAAACTTTTGCTGTGTGTCCCTCCCCCCATTTGCAACGTGCCAGATCTACACATGGAGCAGAATGAGATGGTGAAGTCCTTCAAGTGGTCGTGGATAGGACCACTTCAATCTGCAAGTTTTTAAAGGAATGCATAGTAAAAACTTTGTTAGGAGACATCTAGCACATCAGGGAGAAAGGGTGTAGCCCAGTCCTATGTCTGCTATGTTAGTTTTCTACTTCCAGGGTGTTTTGTATAAGGCAGCATTGAAAACCACATTCTCTTGTCAAACTCACTGGGAGCTAGGGCACTGCTCATTGTTGCTGCTCACTCAGCTTCTTCACCTGGGAGCGGGTAAGATGAGTGCCAACGCCATACATTGAAATGCCTCCCTCTCGGCAGCAGAAGTGGTGCGGTGGGCAGTGCCAACTCTTGCACTTTTGCTGCCTGAGGTGGGTGCTTTACTCCGTGTCAGGGGCAGGCTGGCTCTGTGTATTGCATAGGTGTTTAACAAATGGGAGTGTGGATTATGTGAAGCTATGAGAAACATCTGTTATAATGCTTTTATGGAAGCAGAACTTGGTAGATGAGAGCAAACCATAGCTGCTCTTCCCAGATGACTATGCTCCGCTTTCTCTTCTCTTCTCTTCTCTTCTCTTCTCTTCTCTTCTCTCCCCTTCTCTTCTTTCCCTCTCTCTCTTTATCCACCGACACTGTCAGCTGTGTCCCTTGTTTCCCCTGCTGTCACACAATACTTTTCCCGGTCATGATTCAGAAGGATGTGGACCATTAGGCTGACTAGAAGAGATCAGCAAAATGCACAGTCAAGGCACTGAACAGAAGGGACCACAAGTTTGTCCTAACAAATAAAATTTTTAATAACCTCATAACTTCTTGAATCCGTATGTGTAAACACACAAACACAAACATGAGAAATGACCCTTACTGTTTACTTCTGCTCCAAAAGCCACAAGGAATAGAAGGGATTTGGGATTCCTCAGATAGACTAGTTTTAATGCAGTCTTTGGTTATACCAGTTGATGGGAACCACCACAGGGGAGAGGGCTCTTGTGCTCAGGTCCTGCTTGTGGGTTTCCAACAGGCACGTGGGGAGGGGGGGTCAATGTGAGAACAGGATGCTGGACTAGATGAGCCCCCTTTGGCCTGATCCAGCAGAATCCTTGAGCCTCCTATGATTGTAACATGTTCACATGTGCTGAGGGAACATCGTTTAAAATGACATGTGCTCAATACTGTTAGAGGCTGAGGCAGTGAATAAAAAGCACATTCAACTTCTTCAGTCATTAGCAAGATCCCCCCCCCACCTCTAATGATCTCATTTATCTACTCTAGTGAGGCTTAAGATGCTAAACTATGGCAAAGGGCCGAAATGATCATTAGCAGATTCTTTTCTTTCCCCCACCAATGAGTTGGCATAAACTTATTAGTTCTTCTTCTTCTTTGTAGTTACCATCTCTAGAGACAATAAGACTTGACCATTTAAACAGCCCCCTGTTATCCTTTGCTTGCTGCTGTTAGCCTTAAAGTGGCCATATAAAATCCAGACTGAGCTGGAGATTCCTGGCATTGTCTAACTGTAGAGAATTCAGCCTTAACACGAAGACCCGGGCATTTTTTGATGGAGGAGGTGGTCCACTTGAGGGTGCTCTGAGCTGCGCCACCTCAAAGTTCAAGGATGCAGACCTTCCGCATACAAAGCTTGCATTCTCCCACTGAGCTGTGACCCTTCCCCATCAGCAGAAGGTTCTGGGATAAGTGGTCAAAGAGTTTGACCTGGTCCATCCTGGAACCTTTTGCATGCAAAGGATGAACTCTACCACTGAGCTACATGTATAGATGCATCTGAGCAATGTAAGAAGAAGTGAATGCAAAATGTATCATGAAGATGTGAAGCAACTTCCTGGCCCATCCAAGCAACTTTTCTCATGGCTACGAACTGTGATAGCTGTGTTCCACCTCTGCTTCTGAATATCAGAACCACAGAACAGCAGAGTGCTGTTGCACTAAGCTGCTGCTTGCAGGCTTCCTGTTAAGGCATCTGGGTGGCCACTGTGAGAACAGGATGCTGGACTAGATGGGTCACTGGCCTGATCCATCCCACTTTCTCCCCATTTATAGTGCCTCCTAGTGACCATCTCCTTTGTGGATCAGGTCTCAGGCATGTTGAGAAAAATCACACAAGCCTTCAAAACAGCTTGGGAACTTTGAATCCTGGAGGGGACAGCTTTATTCGACAATAATTTATCATCTGCCTCTGTCTGGCCTCTGTGCCCCTCCCTTTTGAGGCTGCCCTTTATTTGGTTCTCTAAAGAGCAGAGATGAATTGGGGCTGCTTAATTTAGCAGTCCTTCAGATCAGCTAGCTTCAGGAATACAAGTGGATGTGTAATACTCTGCATAATGATTTATTAGGCTGCATGACAATTGCAGTGAAAAAAATATCACAGCTGTCAATGTTTTATTTTTTAAAAACCTTCTGAATGTTAGCATTTTGAATGAGGCACTCCCCACCCCCACCCCGACTTATAAATTTGTCTAAGGCTAATATTCACACAGTCACTCCTTCCCTGCCTGGACCACATCATGGTTGCAGGTTCACACACTGGCCATGTTTAAAAATAGTTGAAGCTGTGTGTAAAATAAATAAATAATACAAATGTGAGTAATACTCCTTATTTGTGAATTTCGAATTTCTCCCTACAAGAGAAGGTATTAATTTAAATTTAGCAAAGGTTATAAAGTATACCACTTAACAATAAATAAATAAGCCTCCAAGTAGTTTATATAATAGTATAGTGGTACCTCGGGTTAAGTACTTAATTCGTTCTGGAGGTCCATTCTTAAACTTAAACTGTTCTTAACCTGAAGCACCACTTTAACTAATGGGGCCTCCTGCTGCCGCTGCGCCGCTGGAGCACGATTTCTGTTCTCATCCTGAAGCAAAGTTCTTAACCTAATGCACTATTTCTGGGTTAGCGGAGTCTGTAACCTGAAGCGTATGTAACCTGAAGCGTATGTAACCCAAGGTACCACTGTAGTATAAGATGTTCACTAGACAAAATAACACAACAGTTCTGCAAGGCAGCTTACTAGGTGGGAAGCAGACACTGCGCTGGTTTCCTGGATTGGCCGGAGCAAGAAAGGTAGAGGCAAGTTGACAGGGAGGTCAGTGACCTACTAGCCAAGAAGGTAGAGTAGTGGCTCTGCCCTTCCTGGTGAATCACGTCTGTAATAATAATTTCAGTAATAATAGTTTTATTGCTTATATGCTGCCCATTGGAATGGGTTGCCCCAGCCACTCTGGGCAGCTCCCAACAAGACAGAGCAACCAGCCCTAGGCTGAACGTTAAGCCTGAGAGGGAAGCTGTGGTCCTCAGTTTCATGTATCTAAGGCTGATATTTTAGCTGCAGCATCACAAGACTCCTTGTGGGCAATTCAACCTCAGTGTGGAGGGTAAAGAATAAAATAAAATAAAACTTTTCCTGATATTGAGCAATAAATGATTTTTTAAATAAAAGATGCGTATGACAACTCTTCTTAAACATTATCCAGTTCAATCGCTTTATCACACTAGGCAACAGGTCTCACAATGAGACTCCTGTTCACATTTGAAAACGAGACACTAGATCAAATAAATCTATTGGCAGGGAGGAAAATGCTGTTACATTTATTTGGGTAAGATTTCAGCTCTTGTCTTCATGGCTCTCAACAGGAATTTAGCTGCAGCGTCTGTAATAGTCTTATTTGAATCAGAGAAGAAGAAGAAGAGCATAACATGAAGACAGTCTTCCAGGATTGAATGACAGCAACTAAAACAGGAAGAATAACTTGTAAGACAGCAGCAGCAGTAATCTGTTGCCTCATATGCTGAAACAGTCTTCAGCAGCTTGGTGCCCTCCAGACATTTTGGACTGTAACTCCCATCAGCCCCAGCTAGCACAGCCTGTATTGGTACTAGGCAGTGGTGGCCCTTGACGTCTCAGTGGTGCCCCGCGTGATGCCAAAATCTGGCTCCCCTCCCTCCCTTTCACCTTCCATTGGATGTCATAACTGCACTCCCCAAAATCTGCCTTTGGTTCTATTGTTTTGCATATTGTTGTTTTTCCTTTTCCTTTGGCTTTTAATTGATCTTATATGTTTGTATTTTACCCA